TGTGTAATCCAGAGAACAACTTCTAAGAGTTGATTCTTTCCTTTTACCATTGGCTCAGACTTTGTACAGTAAGTGTTTTTTACCAGCTGACCATTTATGCAAGCCTTGATCATTTTGCTACGTCTTGGAATATGTAAGATGGAACACAACTTTTTCTCGGCTACATAACAAATTTGAGACACTGCCGCAGAGGGAGAGGGAAAAAAAGATGTCAACTCCTCTCCTAAAAAGAAAGAAATGCAACCAGGAAAATAGTCAATAACAGCCAGAATTGGTTACTCTCTACAATTTGATGGTGAGGTGCTATTGCTGAAGACATCTATTGATGTCATTGAACATGGAGCTGGCACCTAACTAGAAGCTTCACCCCTATTGACTAACATTATGGTACTGGGAGGTACTATGCAGGCTTCCAGAACAAAAAGGTAATCATCAATATTGCCCAGCTACAAACCCTGTAACCTTCAACAGTCACCCGCCTGCAAGACATACTGTTGCAATAGTGACACAAATGCTATGGGAATAACCAATCACTTTAAAAATTATATATAGGCCCACTCCATGAGATGGAACCTGTAACTGACACTGCTAACATGACCAAGAACCTAAGAAGACTAGATAGGCTATGGACTTGGGGGAAACCTAATAATATTATTCTGCTAATGGAATATAACAATAAAATGACTCATAAAGACATATTACTATACCCATAGATCAATGTCTTCCTCACCACATAAAAGAAGCTTCTTCTTGCAGAAGATGGCAATTGATACTGAAACCCACAGCTGGGCAATGAGCAGAGAGTAACACACTTTAAAGCACTCAATCATAAATGGGATGTCTTTATCAAATCCCTCGCTTCAAGACTCAAGGATCTATGTGGTAGAGTAGCCATAAAGATTGTAATAGCCAGAGGTAGTAAATGACGCCGAAGAAACAGCATTTATGAACACAACAGGACTCACATAGATGGTGACTACATGCACAAGACCTGCACAAATTCAAAGCAGACAAGATCCCAGCATTGAGAAAGGGAAGTAGACATAAAGTCCCACCCCCCTAATTAAGAATGCATTTGCAATGATACCTGCTGGGAAAAGGAAAAACTTTTTCTAATATGATGTCCCTAGGTATATTCCAGGGCAGGCCCCAGACCAAGAGTAGTTAGCCAACCCAAAACATTTTGTTTGTTTCTGTTGTTATTTTGTTTTGGTTTGTTTTTTTACTTTTAGTTTCATTTTGTTTTAACATTTTTCCCTTACTGGTCTCTTTGCTTTCGTTTTCATTTTTGTGGGCTTATTTTTAAAAAGGAGAGAGGGGGTATAAAATTGAGTGGATAGGGAGGTGAGGAGGTTCTGGTTGGAGCTAGGGTAGGGAAAAGACAATCAAAATATATTCATAATTTACAAAAGAAGCTTAGACCTAATCTAAATTAAAATCGTTTGCACTATGATATCCCACTTCAGGAGAATGAAAATCACAGGCAGGAAATCATATATCTGGTGCTGTCTTACATAGTGTCTCACTCTTACAATCTGAGCACTAACGAGACCAAAACAGGAACATTGCCATGAGTTCAAGACCGACCTGAACTGCATAGTAAGTTCCAGACTAGACTGAGCTTCTGTAGTGAGACTTGTCTCAACTCCTCCATAAGTTCAAGGCAACAGAAAATGGGCAAAATACCTGAATAGACATTTAATGAAATGGTATGTTTATATATCAAATACATGCATTAAAAGATGCATAGCTTAATTAATCACTGGATAAGTGACAACTAAATGTTTATCTGATACATGATACACAAGTAGACAGAATAGGGCTAAAACAAAGGAACAGTGACGCCACAAAACGCTGCTGAGAATACAGAAAAACTGGACTTGAATATTGCTGGTAGTCACAAAAGTGCTACAGCTGCATTGAAAACAGTTTTCAGTTTCTTAGGGGAAAAAAACTAAATAAGCACTTACCATGTAATTACATTTGTGAGCATTTCCTCCAGAAATGAAAATACAGGAACCTATACGTGAATATTCTCGAATCTTTATTTTGCACAGTCCCAAAGTAGAAACAATTTAAAAAACATTTGACACTAGAGTTTGCTGTATAGCCAGCCCAAGCTGGCATAGGTTCTTGGAATTCCTCCTGTCTTTGCTTCTGGAGTGCTGAAGCTACAAGCATAAGATACCACACCTATCTGATTCAAATATTCTTCTATAGACAAATGCCTAAAACTGCTCTAAACCCATAGTGTAGAATGTCACTTAATGACAAAAATAAATTAATGATTGCTATATAAAACAAGTTGGATGGAACATGAAGCATTATGTTCAACAAAAGTCAGTTTCAAAAACTTGCATACTGTAGGGTTTTGTTTATTAATGTTCTTTTTTTTTAGACAGGTTCACGTGTATCTAAGGTTGGGCTCATATATGTAGTCCAGGCTGGCCTTGAGCGTCTACTCTTTTTGCCCCTACCTCCTAAATGCTGGGAATACCGATGTGTGTAATTATCCAGTTTATTAATATTTTTGAAATAATAGATGCTCAGAGCTTTCTTGGTGCCAGAGCTATAATATGTCTGTAAAAATATAGATGACTAGAGAGATGGTTTTGCAGTTAAGAGTGTTTGCTACTCTTACAGAGGACTTGAGGTCAGTTCTAAGCACCAGGTGGCCAGGTGGCTAAACTCCAGTTCTGGGGGATCTGACACCTCTGCCCTCCATGGGAGCCTGCAGTCAGGTCTCTCTCTCTCTCTCTCTCTCTCTCTCTCTCTCTCTCTCTCTCTCTCTCTCTCTCTCTCTCTCTCTCTCTCTCTCTCTCTCTCTCTCTCTCCCTCCCTCCCTCCCTCCCTCCCTCCTCCCCCTTCCCTCCCTCCCTCCGCCCCCCCTCTCTGTCTCTTGCACGCGCGCGCGCGCACACACACACACACACACACACACACTTAAAATAATCAAAAAAGATTACTGCCATTAAGGGTCAAGATAGAGGAAGGGGCGGAGTGTTGTGGGACCCGATCTACTGGGCGCAGCATGGGTGCTGCACTCTTGAACTCACAGTAGCTAGTATTATCTCCTTCAGATTGGGCCCACCAGAGAGGACATAGGGACTCAAAAGGCTCCACCCCTCCCTTGGGACATATAGGTACTTCAGGGTTTCTAGGGGAGAGGGAGACATTGTCTTCAGTGATTTGGCCACTGGCAAGGTGTCCTTGCTCCAGTAATGCTCCTTCATGGATGCTCCTGTAAGTGATGCCAGTAAAATGCACTAGGGGACACATGCACAAAGACCCAGAAGTAGAAGGAGGGGACTAGATGGGGGGATAATTAGCAGGAGTGGGGCGGGGGAACAAGATGGTGAAAATACATTATATACATTCCCTAGTTTGCCTTATTGTTGCTGGGATTAAACACTGGCCAAAACCAAACCCATCTTGGGGAAGAAAGTGTTTATTTCAGTTTACAGCTGTAGTCCATCATGAAGGGAAATTGGGACAAGACCTCAAGACAGAAACCTGGAGGCAGGAACTGAAGCAGAGGCGATGGGGTAGTGCTGCTTATTGGCTTCCTCCAGCTTACGTTCAGAGCTATCTTTTAGTACCTCCCAGGCCCACCTGCACAGGAGTAGCACCATCCAAAGTGAATTGGGCCATCCAACATCAATCAATAATCAAGAAAATGCGACACAGGCATGACTACAGGCCAATCTGATGGAGGCATTTCCTCAACTGAGGTTCCCTCCTCCAGATGATTCTAATTTGTGTCTAGTTGACAAAAAGTAACCAGCACAACATAGATATGTAAATTTTACAATGAAATCCATTATTGTATATAATTAATACATGCTAATAAAAGCCTTTAAACATCTTGCTGCTGACAAACCAAACACAGCCACAGATTGTGCCTCTGCTTTCCCACAGAGAAGTGAGTTCTAGTCTCCATGGTGTATTAGTGAGGGTTCTCTAGGGGACACAACCTATAGAATAAATATATGTTACAGAGGGACTTAGTTAGGGATTCTGCTGGCTTAGTAAAGTGGCAGTTCTAGGTTCTCCACCAAGATCCATGACTTCACTAGCCCTGGGTAGTTAGTTAGGTTTCCAGTACCAGGCATGGTTTCCCTCTTGTTGAGTGTGTCTTACATCCAATTAGAGAGCTGTTGGTCACTGCCATGGCATGCATGCCACTAGTGAACCTTTAGGGTTATCGTACCATCATGGTCACTGTAGCTCATAGATATCATGGCTTGGTAGAGTTGTGAGTTGCTTCCCTCCTTTGGAAGCTTGCATGGTGCTTTTTTCCTCAGAGACGAGGCCTTCGTGTCTGTTCTAGCTGAGGGGACACTGGGCCCTGCGTGTGAAGTGCATGGTGTCTTCCACCTCTCATCACACTCACAGGTGAGAGTAGTCCTCAACCCTCATCAAGGGAATTGTTGTTTGTAACAGAGATAATTACAGAAAATCATAGCCAATGAAAAGCATAAATGTGGATCTCAGTCTCAACTGATAGCATTTACGATACAACTCCAGCACCTAAGACTCAGGGATAACTGCAGAAAGGAGGACAAAAAGAGCCAGAGGATCAAGGGGTTTGCTGTGAGATTGTTTCCTAGTAGTGGCAGAAGCACACTCACCTACATTATTGCCTAAGCATAAGCTGAAATAAGGATAATACCAACAGACGAACAGGGGAAGGTCCACACAAAGTCTCAACCCTAAACCAAGAACTATAGACAGCTTAGGAATGGTGAGAGCAACAGAAAACGGCTTCTCCAGGGAAGAACATACCAATTGGTTACTCAATACAAAACGTTCAGCCCTGAAAACATATGTACAAGTAACATACAGAATGAGCAGGTTGTATTTGTATATTTAGGAATATGTATGTGTATACATGCTCATATATGTATGTGATAGCAATGAAAAAAAAGAGGTCATGAATTTGAAAGAGAAAAAGGAGGGTTTGGGGGGAATAAATTTATTATAATCTGAAGAAAATAAAATAATTTTAAGTGTGCATTTATTGGAGTGGCTTACACAATGTGATCTGTTTTACACCAGAGAGGCCACCGGGAACGCAGTACTTTCTCAATCCATGGGACTGGATGTCTCTACTGTCCCAGTATGGTACTGGAGACCTAGAAGACTCATTAAAAAGTTGATGATCAGTTCACATTAGAAGCTCGAAGTAGCTGGTTCCAAAAACCAGCCAAGGGATCAGCAGCAGGGTCTCCAGTCCACATTGGCAGCCCAAGGAAGCTGGTTCTGTGTCAGTTAAAGAATCAGCAGCAACAGCGTCAGCAGCCGGGCAGTGGAGCACACCTTTAATCCCAGTAATCGGGAAGCAAAGGCAGGCGGCTCTCCATGAGTCCAAGGCTAGCCTGGTCTACAGAGCAAGTTGCAGAACAGCTAGGGGTGGGCACACAAAGAAACCCTGTCTCAAAAAAAACACAAAAAAAGAATCAGCAGTGGCAGCAAGAAGACTGATGAGCTCAACAGTAAGAGTGAACATCAGCAAGTAAAATGTAAAACACTTTCCTTCTTCCACGTCCTTTTATAGAGGCTGCTCCCAGAGGTGCTGCCCATATTCATGGTGGGTATTCCCACATCAGTTAAGGCACTGTACATTATCTCCCATAGACATGAGCACAGGCCACCACAATGTACACAAAGCCACCAAGATTCTCTTCCCAGGCGACTTTAGGTTGTGTCAAGTTGACAGGTAACTTGGAAGAAACCGTCACACCTATTTTTAATCAAACCATTATGGTTAAACAGGGTCTCATGGGGAGTGTATATGACAAATAGTTCTGGGAGTAGTTTGCTATCAATCTAGCTTGTGTTCTCTTTTTAGAAATCATTTCTTTCAACTTTCTACTCATAGATTGTGCCAGAACCAATATGGCAACCAGAGTTGGGAAATGAAAGGAAACTGGAAGGCCTAAAAATACTCATGTGCAAATCACCAAAATGGATAGATAGTTTTGAGGCCATGCCTCTGTTCCACACTATAAATGGCAGGTGATGATGCAGTCTGCTCACAAAGAGTTAACATCACATGTGATGGAAATTTCATGCACAGTGGGCTAAAATTTTTAGATTTAATGCAGAAAAGCCTTTAAAAACATTTCCTATGAGCAGGCATGATGGCACATACCTCTAATCTCAACATTTGAGAGTCAAAGGCAGGTGGATTTTTTAGTTTGAGGCCAGCTTGCTCTACACAGCTGTTTCTGGCTCAAAAACTAAAAGTGTGTGTGTGTGTGTGTGTGTGTGTGTGTGTGTGTGTGTGTGTGTGTGTGTGCTTTGCCCTTAGAGGCCATCAGATCCCCAGCAGCTGCAAATTACAGGCAGTTGTGAGCTGCCCAATATGGATTCTAGGAATCGAACTCAGGTCTTCTGGAATATCATCAAACATTTTAAACTTCTTAGTCATCTCGCCAGCCTTGAAAAGAGAAAAGTTCTTTATCAAGGGTCCATGTGGAGCTCTACACCGTGGCTCGTGCCTGTGATCCCAGCACTCAGGAGGCTGAGACAGGAGGATTTCCACAAAGATGAGGCCAGCATCAGCTACATAGTGGGCTCCAGGTCATCTTGGACTACAGTGTGAGATCTTGTCTCAAAGAAAAAAAATCCATATGGCTCCTTGTTCTCAAAGGCACTGGTAAAGTACTGATTCTGTAGAACACATTGAAAAAGGCCACCTAAAAACAATCTTACTAGAAGTGGAAACCTAGAGAACCATGAGACTGTGAACCGCATACTTTCTTTTTCCTTATTTTTGGTTTTTGATTTTTCAAGACAGGGTTTCCTTGTGTAGCCCTGCCTGCCTTTGCCTCCCGAGTGCTGGGATTAAATATGTGCACCATCATGCCTGGCAAATCACATTTATTATTATCACTCACTTATCAGTGAAAAAATTCCAGTCAGTTTCTCCAGGCCAGATACGTCTATGGAAAGCTATAGAGAAAGAGAAACAACATGATGATATTTGATCATTGACACTACTGGTGGCTTTGGCATCGTTATAGGTCCACAAAGGTGGAGGCTTAAGCTGGCAGATGTAGAAGCCATTTATTTGAAATCTCATTTTTCAATATTTTTGATTGGTCCCATTTGCACTTAAGCATCATATCGTGTTTTGCACATCTAACTATTTGAAAGTATAATGTCGAATACCATTTTTTCCAAGACAAGGTTTTACTATGTAGCCCTAGCTGGCCTGGGATTTTCCATCACTTACAGTTTTGCAAGAATCCTGCTATCTCAGTCTCAACTGCTGTGATTATGGGCATCTGTCAACCCACTTGGCCTTATAATACTATTTTTAAAACTTGACCATTGAGGAACAGGCATGTAACTCTGTGGTGGAGTGATGGGCTAGCATATACAAACCCCTGGGTTATTCAACCTCATATGTCAGTGTGTAGGTAGGTAGGTAGGTATGTAGATAGATACCTATAGATAGATAGATACTGATTTATGTAGAGTTGGTTTAAATTGTAATATAACCATCAATTCGAATCTTTAATTTCTAAAATGTGATATGAATCATGTGCTTAACACAGAAAAATATGAAAACCTATAGTAAATTTTAAAAGCATATTGCAAAGCCAAGCATGATTACTTACTCTTGCAAGCCCAGCACTTGGGAGGCAAATGCAGGAAGACTGTTGTGAGTTTAATACCAGCATGGTCTATATAATGAGTGCTAGCCCAGCCAGGACTACTAGGATGACCTTGTCTCCAAAAATAGCAGATTGTAGTCTAGAAGGCACGGTGGCTAATACCTATGACCCAGCAGCACTTGGGAGACAGAGGCAGAAGAATTGCTGCAAGCTTTGAACTGGTTGCACAGTGAGCTGCAAGAGAGCTAGGCTTACACAGCAATATTTTGCCTCAAAAAGTGTCACCAGTGTACAATAGCAGTATAGCATATATGATGTGCTTCCCATTCAATATATATTCATATACATTAAATACGCTTCCAAAATATATAGTATGTGACTTGTTCCCCTTTCAACAATACACAAACATATGCTAAAATATGCTTGTGAGAACACTCATTATTTATGTTAATTTCAGATGTACAAAATTGAATTAATACCTCATGCATACAATTCTCTATTGTTTTCATTCTCAAGCACTATTCCTTTCACAGATGCTATTCGAAAACAACAGCAAATGTCATTGAATATACATCATCTCTTTTGTAGGACACAGGATGCTTTTCTATATGTCTCTAAATTTTTTAAAAATTTATCCAGTGTGTATATATGATATGTGTGTGGTAGTATAGTTGAGTGCATGCTAAAACACACCCGTGGAGGTCAGATGACAACTCCCAGGACTGAGTTCTCTCCTTCACCATGTGGAGTTCAGGGATTGAACTCAGGTCAGTCAGGCTTGGCAGCAAGTGCCTATACCCACTGAGCAATGCACCAGCCAATGTATCTCTTGTGAAATTGGATAGCATAGGCTGTTCCAGAATTCCAGATCCTCCTGCCTCCACTGAGTTCTGAGATTACAGGAATAAGCCTGCACAACAGGCCTTATCATTGCTTTTATATCTTCAAATAACCACTTTAATTTCTACCCAGCTGAGGCTCCGCAGTCCATTATTGCAATTATGTCCTCACAAATCCCTTCACATTTTTGCTCTACTAGCCTCCCATCACATTCATCTGTTGTGAGAAACAATGTGCCTCCCTCCATAATAAGAGCACTGGAAACTCAGAGTAGTGAAAATGAGAGTTTATTATATGACTTTGGAAGCCAGCCATCAGCGTAACAGTTTATGAGCCCTAAGGCTGGACTCTCCTTTCCTTTCCTCATACTGAATAATCAGAGAGTAATATCTTACACATCATCTAGGTGGGATCCTTCTCCTACATAGTTGCTTACATATATGTGCTTCTCAATAAAACCATGCATGGCTCGTCTCTGTGTGCGTGGATTCATCTCTACATTTTACATTGTGTTTATGTTAAAACTTTTCAGGCTCATGGCAAGCTTAGTTGTTAGTAATTTTCTACTCTAAACATCTTGTTTGGGTGTGAGGGTGGCTTACCACGGTCTTGAGGGTGAGACTAGCTAGGAGGAGTCTAGTGCTTTTGCTTTATCTGTGTTGGGAACTAAACTGGCTAGGGGCACTTTTGAAAATGAACCCACACCTGGATAGCCTCAGCTTTTCACTAGCCTAACAATCTTCCTACACTTCTTTAGTTTGCTTACTTAGATACCATTAGTGGCTCAGAAACAACAGAAATTTCTCACAGCCCTAGAGCCTGGGAATTCCTATACCAAGTTGCCAATATATTTGGTGTGTTGTGATAGCCCACTCCCTGGGTCACGGTTGGTGTCTTTTGCTGTCATCCTATGGTGGAAGGAGCCTAGAGTCTCTTTCATCTCAGCACTAACCCCATTCAAGAGGGATCCACCTTCCAAACATTAGGAGGGATCTTGTTTATTTTTACATTCTTTGTTTATTTTTAAACAGGGTATTCCTATGTATCCATGGCTGGAACTTGCTTTGTAGACCAGGCTGCCTTCACATACTGAGAAATTCCCCTGCCTCTGCCTCCCAAGTTCTGGGATTGCAGGTATGTGCTACCACACCTGACTCAGGGATGGTTTTATCTTATGGTATTTAAAAGAAAACCACGCTCACCTATCAGAAGATCATTTAAAACATTCCTCTCTCATCAAATCTGAAATTCCCCCACTTAGTTGGTCTTGCTTCATATTTAACTGTTGAAGTAAGTAGTTATTCACCTGTCTCCGATAAAGCACCCTACATGCATTGGCAGCTATGTGCTCTTCCCTGCCTCCCTCCCTCCCTGCCTCCCTCCCTCCCTCCTTGCCTCCCTCCCAATACAGTGGGCTAACTAGTATCCCTCTCTAATCTAGATCTTAAATACTTGAGTACTTAGGTGTGGCAGTTATGTCCATGGCACTTCCCACACCTCTATGCTACCTCGCTGAGGCTGTCAGGACAAGATACCATGTACTAGTGGCCTAAAACAGCAAAGCTTATTTCCTCCTAGTTGAACATTAGGTTAGATAGATGCCTATCATGCGGATATCAGCCAGGGAGTGGAGAAGGGGACTCAGCCCCCATGGAGAGCTACCTACTGGTAGTTAATAGTTGCTGGTGGGAAGGAAAGACACTTTCCTTAGTGGTGTATCTACTGGCAAATTACTCGTGCTCCAATAAATAGCCTCCCCACGTATGCTCCTGTAAGCAGTCAGAATTAAACTCAGTGAATCATCAAAATGAAATAGATTTGTGAGTGGACTGAGGGAGTGGGATGGGTATAGGTGTGGGGGGATGGAGGGAAATGTACACATATGAGAGAAGTAATATATGTAATACATAAGAGTGTTAAGAGAAGCTTTCCTTGAGTGGAGCCTTTCCGCCCGCCTGGTTCTAGATCCCCAATAGTCCCAAATAAACACACAGGAGGCTATATTAATTATGAAGCTGTTGGCCTTGCTTGTCTCTTACTGGCTAGCTCTGCCTTAAGTAATTACCCCATCATTGTTAATCTAAGTATTTCTCTTACCGGAGAATGGTTCCGGGTTTCCTACCCCCATGGCATTACATCTTGACTCTCTTGTGTTTCTCCTTCCCAGAATCCTCCTGGACTCCTAGCCCCACCTATCTAGATTCCTATAGGCTCAACAGTACTTTATTGACAAATAACAGGCAAATAACAGGACTTCCCCAACATAAGAGGATAAAAACTCATTATGAAAAATAAAATTAATTGTGCTATTTTGAAAAAATACAACAAAACGTGTCATTAGAGACCTGGGGACATCTCTCAGTTGGTAGAGTGCGTACCTGGCAGGCACTAGGTTCAATCCCCAGTAGTGCATAAACCAGGTCTGATGGTACACACCTGCAGTTCCAGCACTTGGGAAGGTAGAAGCCGAAGGATCAGAAGTTCAAGGTCATCCTTAACCATATAGGGAAATTGGTGGTCAGCTTGGACTACATGAGACCCTTTTACAGACAACAAAGTGTGTTCATACGATCATCTCTTGTGCATGTAAGTGTTGTCTACATGTCTTCTTATAAACACATGTCATGCTGGATTAGGGCCCACTATAAAGATTTCGTTTTAAGTTAATCATCTCTTTAAAGATGTTGTTACAAATCAGGCACAGCAATGTATGTCTGTAACCCAGCACTTGGGATATAGAAGTATAAGGATTCCCACAAAATCAAGGTCGGCCAGCCAGGGCTACACATTGAGATCCTTTCTCCAAACAACACAATATACTGCAACACAAAATAAAACAAAACAAACCCTATCTACAAATAGGATTACATTATGAGGATCTAGGGAATTGATCTTCAATAAATTTTCTTCCTTTCTCCATTCTCTTCCTCCCCTTGCCCTTCTCTCTGGACAGGGTCTCACTCACTAGCCCAGGCTAGCCTGAAATTCACTATGAAGATCAGGATAAGCTTAGAATCTTAGTAATACTCCTGCCTTAGTCTCTTAGATGCTGGGAGTACAGGCACAAATCACTATATACTGCCAACATATAAATTTTAAGGTGAGAGAATTGGGCCTCATGTAACAAACTCCATGATACCTAGGGATCCATTGTGGGGCTCCTTACCAGACTTCTCAGCAGCATTTACAATGCTCAGTTACTACCCTTTGGAAACCCATGTTGCTTCATAAGCACATCCACTACTTAAAACCCTAACAGCTAAGAGAGTAAGCTATAGATATCTTTTAAAAAGATAACTTTTAAGTGTGTGTCTATGCTCCAGTGTGTGAACAATTGTGCAGGTGCCTTCAGAGGCCTGAGGAATTAGATCCCCCTGAAGCTGCAGTTACAGGTAGCTGTGAGCTGACCAACACGGGTGCTAGGAATAAAAGGCTGGTGTTTTTCGAGAGCACTGTGCTGCTAACCACTGAGCAATTCATAGACATCTTAATTATTCAAAAGTTTTTAACTTTTATTGATTCTCTGTGGATTTCATATCATGCATCCAGAACCCACTTATCTCCTTGCATTCGCCCCCACCCTTGCCAACCCACCAAATCAAAACCAAATTTAAAAGAAAACAATAAACCAAAAAAGAATCTTGTCGTGGAGGTTGTAGTGTGGCCCATTGAGTCACACAAAATTTCCATATTTTTATTGTTCAAGGACTTGGTTTCAAAGCTGAGAGTTTCATTATTTTAATCTATTCTTTAAAAAGGTAATCAAAGCTATAAATTCATGAAACTGGGGACTTTAAGAAATATATTATACCAGTCTCTCCCACCCCACATGAAAAAAAAGACAGTTGAAAAACATCACCAGAAGATACCTTATTTCACGTTTCTTGGTAAATTTTTATCGCCAACTCAGTCTTCTCTGAAGACTAGATCACAGAAGTGCTTTGAAATTGTCTTAATATTTGCACAACTGAAAACGCTGTTTGCTTTTGTGGACAAAATCTGAGCAAGTTCTAAGTTCTTCCTTTCAGGTTCACACAATATGAATTTAACATATCTACTATGGATACTGTCAAATATGAGGCTATAAATCTTTAATTCTGGAGGTGGGATTCTGAGTTTAGACCAGTGAGTGATTTGAATATGCTGCACAGTCAACTGATTACCCCCTCACCCCGCACCCCAGCCCTGTCTCCTCAGCTTCCTGAGAAGCATTTGGAGAGTATCAACAGGCAGTTTGAGAAGTCATGAGCACTGAACACATGCATCGTCTAAGCACATGTGCCCGTGAAAGCACTGAATAACCTTAGAAATTAATCAGCGAAAAATGAGCAGTAGTGTTCAAGGAACGTTTATTAATGGTGCTAAATGAATTGTAATGTCTCAAAATTGATACCTACTTGCTAGGGATAAGGTTCAGGTGATTACTTGCCTAGCTTTCATGAAGCCCTGGGTTCAATCCCTGGCACCATGTAAAGCAATTATTTTCCTTGAGAAAGAAGCAGGGCTTTTCGTTTCTCTTGTTTCCAGGAAGGAATTCTATAGCCTCAGAGTGACTCTTCTGAACAAGCATCCTCCATTATGCTTCTGTGAGTTCAGTTCCTTCTGACCACATTAGTCTCCATGTGTCTCTTTTGCTGGTTGTGCCACTTCTTCAAGATTGGGGTGCCCCAGGACTCAGGCCTTGGGCATCTTCTTTCTTCTAGCCATATTCATTTCCGGGGTGATTTCATAACTGTAAATGGTCAGTCCTGACCTGTGCCTTGAACTTGAGATTCATATTTAAACTGCCTACTCACCATCCCCACTTGGATGATCTAATGTCCGTTAGCATGATTCAGACTCTGTGCCTCAATGCATGAACCCTGTTTTTCCCAAGAAACTGAGGCAGAGGGAGTTAGTCAGTTCTAAAAGGAAGGTCGAAAAGCTTTGATGTCACACTTCACGTCCATTCCTTCTCTTACACTCCAAGTTCAGGCAATTAGCAATGCCGTCCACTCTCTGCAGATTTAGAGGCCATCCTCTTACAACTCTTTGCACTGCTGTCACGATGGTCTGAGCTGTTTTGCTTCTCACCTGGATCACAGCTAATAGCACTGCCCCATAGTCCTGCTACCTCTATTCTTGCCCTATTGTACTGTAAAGAACAACAAGATGTGCTCACATGAGCATCTCTTTGATCATGCAAGTGTCAGATAGCACTCTATGCCTACGTGTCTTCTTATAAACACATAGGGAGGCCAGGCAGTGGTGGCGTATACCTTTGATCCCAGTACTTGGGAGGCAGGCGCAGACAGAGCTCTACAGAGTGAGTTCCAGGACAGCCAGAGCTGCAACACAGAGAAACCCTGTCTCGGAAAACCAAAAAAAGAGAAAACAAACAACCACAACAACAAAACTTACATAGGGAGACATGATAACATTTAAAATTCTATTATTGTTAAGTGTGTGTGTGTGTGTGCCCACTCACATGTGGGGGAGTGCATATGGATGCAGGTGTCCAGGGAAACCAGGATCTTATGGAATTAGACTTATAAGTAGCTGTGAACTGACTAACATGGGTGATGAGAACCAAACTCAGGACCTTAACAAGAGCAGAAAGTGGTCTTAAGCTTAGACATTTCTCCATGTCCAGAATAGTATTATATTAGACAAGATCTCATGCAGCTCTTGAACTCCTGTTCCTTCTGTTTCCATCTCCCAAGTGTAGTTACAGGTAAGGGCCACCATGACCTGTTGTAATTGATGCTGGGCATACAACACAATGTTTAAAGCATGCTTGGCATGCACTCTACCAACTTCCCAACACTCATAATAATTCTTTAAAACATAAGTGAACTATATGTGGTGACTCATTCCTGTCACCCCAGCAGGAGGGTCAGGAGTTCAAGATCACCCTTAATTACATAAAAAGTCTGAGGCCAGCCTAGGACCCACAAGACCATATCTCAATAACCAACAGAAAGAAAAGAGCTAATCTTTTTCTTGTGTTCTCACTTTCAGTGGTGGTTTTTGTCATGGTTGTGATGAAATCCAAAGGGCTTACCATGAACTACTAGGCCTGCATGATTTGGCCTCTGCCTGCATTAAATTATATTTCCTAATAAACTTGCTTGGCCTGCTTCTGCTCCCGTGGATTCTTTGCACACCAAATAAGTCTAAACCTCAGTGCCTTTGCATTTTTCATCATCTCATCTACTAAAAGATCCCTCCTTTAGCCTAGGGGAGTAGTGGGGATCTATAATCCCAGGAACTAGAAGACTAAGGCACAAAGATTCCAATTTTTTTGTTTGTTTTTCAAAATAGGGTTTCTCTATGTAACTTTAGAGTCTGTCCTAGAACTTTCTGCAGGC